TTACTTGTCTGCTTTTCTAACACAAGTAATAATATACGATCGAAATGCTCACATACTCGTATATACTGATACTATGAAATTACGGCTTATGTTTATTGATATAAATATAGCGAATGATATTATAACATTCGCCAAACTCACATTTGATAAAAACCCACTTTTACCACATTAGGAGTATGTCATGTACTGACACAAAATGATGTAACTTGTGTCACTAAATCCTAGAACCAATTAACATAAATATACTTTTTCTATATGATATGTTGGGGTTGGCATGAATATGTTTGTTTTTGTCTTTTTTTAATTCATATCTAAATATCTCAAAACATACTACTAAAACATGACAAATTGTCACGTCAAAAAAAATATTCTCAAGTGTTTGGTATTCTTTTAAATTAGTTTTTAGTTCTTCCACCGAGTGATGTTTTATTATTTCATACCAAATTTGGGTATTCGGTTTTCACAGCCAAATAATTCTAGAAAATCAAATCATATCTGAAAAAATAGTGTTTTGTTTTTTAATCATCTTGATTTCAATCTATTCAAAAATCAGTGAAATCGTACGAACATAGTTCACGTAGCCGTCATTTGTGTGACGATCATGATACATATGTTGAATGACTGAAAAGACACAGAACCCAAAACCGTTTTAGACAAATATATATATCAATCGATTACATAATTTCTAAACCTATTTTGTAAAATAGGCATCGCAAGTTTTTATTTATTAAGTTGCATGGATAACCAAGATGCAGGATCCGGTTAACATTCAGTTATATTATTAACATAATAGGCAACATAAACATGTTAAGATTGTTGGGTTGTGGTGGAAGTAGATGTACAGTAACCTTATGTAGGGTTTTGAATATTTCTTCATGACGGCCATTTTGGATTTATGCTAATTGAGATAATTACAGCGTGACAGCGTAGCATCAATCAGATTCTAACTCAGGACATTCTAGTCACCGTATATCACACCCCCCCCCAAACAAAAAAAACGTATTAATATCGTATCATGCGGCCAGGCTATAACTGCCGTGACTTATACTAGCACGCCTATATAGAGAGTTTGACATGAAATGTTCTCAATGCACTAAAATATTCGCAAACGCCAAAAATTCTCTAAAAATATATTACCTCAAAAAGCTGCCGAAACATAGGTATGTTAACTATGTAAAATGTACTACATTGACATATTTATTTCTTTAGTGATATGTGAGAAAAGTAAATAAAATGTTATGTTATAATACGAAAATAAAATAATTTGAATAAAATCATTGTTTTTGAAAAATTGCATATGAGACCATTGGTGCCAATCAGTGAAATAAGAGAACATACATGCTTGGCATGTATGGAGTATATAAATATAACAAAACGATTTGTACTAAAAAAAGGTTAGTGCGGTAAATGGATTGAAAACAACACTATGTGTTCACGTTCAAGTCAATTCTATTGATAATTTATTAGATATAAAAATTATGTCAAAGCAACAATATACTTCTAAAGTATTTCGAAAAGAATTCTTTAACAAACTGAACCTTATTTTCGAAAATATAGACTAATGTGGCTTATATTTTGCCTCGCTAATGCTAAAAATAATAGCAGTGACATTGTTATTGATATTTTAACACAATGACATCATTTATAAATATATGCAACCAGCAGTATATTGGCTTGTCTGGTGTTTCATGTCATTTCCACTGATACAAAACATTTACTAAACCAAGAATGGGTAGTTGAGGAAATGTACCATACTGTTGATTCACAGAATATGTTGATGTTCGGCTGTCAAACTGAAAAAAAGAAGTATGTCGATGAAAAAAACGCGTTGCAATTTATTGATTTCCTCCAGTTCCTTCCCGCCACTTCATGTTTGTCTGTTTAATGTTCACTAATTATGACATTTAAAAATGTCTTACAAGAATTGGTGTATGGCAGTACACTCGTGACAAGAACATATATTAGCAGTTATTTAATTTGTCAATCAGTGAACTCCGGTGTTTATTTTTCTATTTAATTCAGCAGGTTAGTGTGGTGCGTGTTTTACACGATAACTGTGCCTTATTTCAAATTCATTTATTTTTCACAAATACCAATTTATTTAAAATGGATACGGTCAAATTAATGCAAGTAGGCGCATGTAATAAGGCAATGAACCCTATTTGTCAGCCGAGCAGAGATCTGGGTGGTAACTTAGCGACTATATTTCAAATGTAATCAGATCGAGGCAGTTGGCACCGTTGATGGTCTCGGTGATATTACTCACTGCCCGACTCTTTTTAATAAAATAAATATTGCTGAGTGGAAATCACGAGAGCGAAAAAATCTATATTTGATCTTGGTTATCGAGAGCTGCTTTGCATCGGGTGGCTTCGCAGGCTGTTTCGCTATTTTTTTTATTTGTTGAATGTAATCGCGTTGAACACGTCTCGATATGAATGTGCTAAATGGAGGAGTGTCGTCTACTCTGATGAATACCGCACCCAGTCTTTTCAAATATCGAATTGATTGTTAGTAAGCGTTATTCAGTGATTTGCTGTGATTCAGTGAGATTAAAGAGTGTCTGTTGTCATGCCGATTACATAATCCGATAAAACGATGATAACAATCGCGAACCTCTCTTCTTTCTAGTGTTCATACAAATTTTGTATTAGCTACAATTCATCTGCATTTTCTTTTATTAATTTTTTGGAACACTTGTTCATGTTGTTACATAGTGGGGCAGACGCTCTCATTTCCTTATATACTAGTATTACGATTATTATATTGCACGTAACAATTGGTACGTATTTTTTTTAGGGTTAACTATCACAACACTATTTGTTGGCGTGTAATGACGAATTCAAATACAGGATTTGGCCGTAAAGTGTGACCCAAGTCTCTTCGCATTTTTTTATTATGTCACAAGATGAGCTATCTATATGGTATAGAACTGTATTTCAACTCTAAAATGTGGTCAAATTTAACAAAATGTGACTGGAAAATTGTTCAGAGTAATTAAATTTCTCCTTCATTGTCCTGTAAATAAACGAGTGTACAACCCCCCCATCATGTTTACCTGTTTTGTTAAAGCGGGGGGAAGAGGGTTCGTCACCTGCGCATGCGTCAGATGGCCATAGCGTGTCATTGTTTACAAACAAGCGTCTACCCATAAGCCTTTGCGTTTTTAGCGTGAGTTGTTATCGTCGCTTGGGACTCAATTCCCGCGCGTGCGCAGGTGGCGACCCTAGCCTCCAGCTTTAATTTCTTTAGCACAGTAATCAAGGATACAGAGCGCTGTTATCAAAATTGGCATGAATTTTAACCATTCTGTGAAATCGATAAACAATAGTGCACATCACCATAAACACATCATCCATAATGCAGTTGGATAATGACGTCATTGTGGTCCCATAAAACCGAAATAAAATCGAGTATACGTCATAGTAAATACTACGTTGAAAAAAGAAAACATGTGAAGCTACGTGATTTGGGGGTCGCGTGCGAGCGTCAGTTTGAGTCACACACTCAGTACATGTTTCCTTCATTCAACATATAGTATTTACCATGCCTCGTATTCAGTATTAATATTGTTATTTTCAGGGTATGTATTACGTCGGACCGTGATACTGCACACTTTCAAACGTTGAGCCGGTTTTATCAATTTACAAATAAACATCACTTTTGGTTTAAAGGACTTCAAATTTGGGTTTGAGTTACCACGAAAGCTATATTAGAGAATATTATGTTGACGCCCCCAACGCCAATCTTTAAAAAAAATAGAGTTATTACAGAGGACGCCTAGCCAATCACAAATGAAAGTACTTCTTAATTTTTGTTGTACTAAATCTGAACCAGCTTACGTTTGTTTACACCATTGCTTTGAATATTTCACTGATTCGTCTTACTAAATATACTTTTGTCATGTAGTATTCAACAGATTTTGATGAAACTTCAAGGCCGTAGGAAGCAAAAATTAGTTTGTCCGGCCATCCATCGAGGGCCATAGCCCGAGGCGTATGATGACGTGGGCCGAAGAACCGCGTCTGCTGGGGGGGGGGGGCGTGCATAAGTGGTCCGGCCATAGCCGGTATGGCCGGTGCGGTTCCTATGGCTTTGAACTTGATACATATATGGTCAGAGATATTGCGCAGACCTGATTAGTTGCTCGTTTCAATTTGTGCATAATAATTCGGCAAGATATCTTGAGTACTGCTACTAATAGTTTATGTGTATTCAAGATGTGTTTCTATTATAGTAAATACGGTATTAATATTCCTTATCCGTACTTTGTGTCTTCGATTCCTTAAGCACACGGGAGTTCTTTCTTAGTGAATAAAGACGAGCTATTTAAATATTCAAATAAATATTTTAAACAACCGTAAATCGTGATTTAACCTAATACTCACTGATTCAGTACTATAAAAAACGTATTTTCCTCGTGATGATTGGCAAGTCTTCTAACCTGACATTCTTCACGGCCTTTCCTGAGTTCAGGAAAGAAGGGTGCATGGCACGATTGGCTAAACAAATCTCATTTGCATAAATTAATATTCACGAGAAACAAAAAGCTTTTCAGTAAAACAAAATAATTTTAAAATGCAAATTACAATGTTAATTATGAAAAGGTAAAATACGAAAAAAAAATGCAAAATACGTGAC